ATTTGACCACAATTTCCAACCCTATTTACTGAGGTCTTTCCCATAGGCCTAAATTCATATTTAGTCACTGTTGCTATTGAAGTAGTGGCCCATTGAGCAGTCTTTGCTACTGAAGCTCCAGCCATTCGTGCCCCAATAATGAACCCTCTTATTGTACATACATTGTACATATCGTGCACCTGTCTGGCACAGGTGTACTGCATCTGCACTTACGTTTCTCCACTCATGTATTCAGCTTTTTTCTTTGATTTGTCACCTGCCTAATATTCTGTTGGTTCTCCACATGCTGCCAACACTGTGCTGACCATGGACTCTACAAGACCTTTGAAGGTGCCCTGTGGTGTCTGGCACCAGTATATTAGCAGTAGATCATTTAAGTATTGTAAGTTGTGGGGTGGAGCTGCATCTGGCCAGACCTGTTGTTACAACACATCCAAAAGATGCTCGATGGGATCGAGATATATGAATTTGGAGTCCAGGGCAACGCCTTGAACTCTTAGTCATGCTCCTCAAACCATTCTCGGACAATGTTTGCAGCGTAGGCGTTTTCGACAGTGGACAGGGGTTAACAGGGGCGCCCTTATACACAGCAAGGTGTGTTGCGACACATTCTTCTAATAACCATCTGTTAGATTTTGTATTTTTGGGCTTATGCGGATGTTTGAATATATTTAATTTAGATGTATGTTATTTAGACTTAAAACATTTGGTCTCAGTAAGTCTGCTATATTGTAATTCTAACAGCATCAACTAGTTTGGAAATGTGCCATTTGACCTCACATCACAGCTCCTTGAATACCACGTTCACTGTTGAATTATCTAGACAGTCTGGAGCTTGACTTGACACCTAGCCTCAATGCCTTTGTTAGATCTGCATCTTTATAAAGCCTGAGCTTCTTGCTACATCGGCAAAGGACTTTTTGCTTTGTAGCATCAGAGTTGGAAAGTTTTCTCTCTGGTGGACTTTGATATTTGCAAATAAACCACATTTTCATCAATCCATAGGTGATCTGTTTTATTGTTCCTAAGAAACTGTGATCTAACACAATCATTAAAAAATTCTCTTCTGTTAGTTTGGAGCAGGCAGGATAGCCATTGTGCATCAGTGAGCCTTGGCCACCCAACACCCTACCCTCAGTTTATGTTTTGTTCCACCTTGGGCCGCTGTTGGTAGGTGCTCATATTTTCTGACCAGGAGCTCCCACAAGCCTTGCTGTTTCAGAGATGCTCCGACCCAGTCGTCCAACCAACGTTTTGACCCTTGTCAAGTCGCTCAGTCTTCATTTCTTCTGCGTCCAGCATCTTGGTGTATCCCAGACCTTGATTTGCTCCACTGTCGCATGATAATTAGCATTGTTTGCTTCTATGAGTGGTCATAATGGTTTGTTTCAACGTTGTATATGTACATTAATTTAAGGATTTCCCATCTGCCACTTTGATGTCATGAGTCTAATATAATGAAGTGTCAGAACGGATTTTGTGGGGGTTTTCAGACCACATCATATGTTTTTATGTATCAACATCACAAACACAGGCTCAAAAAGCAGCTCTGGCTCAATGTTTAGGTAATCAGCATTATACTAAAGAAGATATAATGACAAAAGTAAATCAGTGCACAGTCAGGCAGATAGCTTACCAATGGAAGTAATCCATGTGTTGCTCTCCCTGTGAGTGGATGTCCTACAAAGATCAGTGCAAGGACACAACGTACGTCTTCAAATAAGTGACAGAAACCCTAGAGTGACAGCTAAGCATATAAGAATCTTTTATCTTTATCATCTCACTTGATAATGTCTGCGTTCATGCCTGTCCCATAAGACAAACACTGAACAAAAGCAGTGTTCATAAACGGTTACCCTTGAGGCAGGCACTGCTTTCCTCAAAAGAAGAAATAAAAGAAAAGAAAACCTGATGCCTGTCTCAGCTTTACTAAAGAACTGCCTGCAGCACTACTGGAACTACTGGAAGATCAGACAAGTACTTTTTGGTTAATGTACAGAGAAAAACGCTTCATACTCACTCATACTAAAATCTCATCTATGAAGCATGGTGGAGGAAGTTCGATGTGGTGCTGCCTCTGAGGGCCTGGGCAACTTGCTGTATTGAAGGATATCAATGAAGTTGTGTAAGGAAATTCTGCAGTATAATGTCAGGATGTCTGTGACCTAAAACTCAAAGCTGTAGTCACGTGACATGACAAACCCACATAATTTATTTATTTTTTTTTTGGTGAAAATTGACAAATGAGAATCCTGGCCTTAATCCCAATGAGCGCTGTGGTATAACCCCATAGTAGGCCATTTAAAGTCAAAGTAAACTTTGCCATTCCTTCACACCACAGCCAGCTGTCAAGTCAGGAAAGAAATATAGTTCATCTGAGTCACTGTACTGTATTTAACACAGAACAGCAAAAGACAACAGTACAAACAGACAGTAAATACAGTAAATTATACAAAACACTGCAATGAACTAGTACGAGACATTGGAGACTAAACAGTAATACAATGACAACTTCTCTCTTAGTCTTCAGCAACAATGATATTTGAATATGTATTATTTTTGAAATTTAAGTAAGACATCTGAATATTTTAGGCTATGTGAAACAAAAAAAAGTGAGACTATTCCAGATTATTGGCAAAAGATTGCACAGGATTGATCTGTAGCTTCAAAAAGGTTATTGACAGTAAAAGCAATGCTAGTTACTATATCTACATTTTTCCCTCATCAAGACCTTGATTAATTAAACCATCATTATTGCTAAGTTATTGTTACATATTAATAAGTTATTGTTTGTTATTGCTTTTGTTAATTAAGACTTTAAAGCAGTCTTTACTTATTATAATGACTTAGAGGAAGGAGGCACTCGTGCATTCTTTTCTAGGTTGCTGGTCTGTCAGTCATTCTGGTAGGACATTTTTAAAAAGTACTTTTTCTTGCCTCAGCAGTGATGGAGGTGTGTGTGGACACAATGTAGGTGTACGTGTGTTTGTGAGGGTGTGACTGTTGTTCTGGGTGGTATCTGTTGCAGGTAGTGCTGGTGGTGATTGTCATTTTTAGTCATTAGAGCAGTATGTTTCTGCAGCCCAGCTGTCTGCGAGGCACCAACAGTATAACCTGCCACTTCACATGTCGTTCAGTGATGAAGCTGACAGTTTGTTGTTGGTTGCAGTGCGATGGTTTCTGAGCATGCACATCATAGAGAAATATATCTGGGTTGCGGACAGAGGGCGCAATAATGAAGCCCCCACTCCGGTGTTGCATACTTCCATAGTCTTAATTTTTAACTAATACTGATACGTGATCCTCAAGTAGCCGCTGATACGAAGTACTGATACTGATCCTAAAGCCAACTGCACAGTATATAAACTGCAACATACAGCATTGTGTAGCATCACGTAGCAGATACAGTACAAAGCATTGCTATACCACATAGAATGCATCATTAACATCAAGTTCAGATTCATTTTTACCCTCTACTCATATAAAGTTAATGAAATAACATTGTCAGCATAATTTATCACATTTGTCATAACTTTAATACCTTTTTATAAACATACTGTTTTTGAGCTGAAATATACAAGGTAAAAAAAGGCTAGGCAGGTAACATTAGCTAAGTTAATAGACTATTTAAATTTGTCTGTCTATTTAAAAGACTGACTGGCTTTCTCTGTGTAAATTTCAAGCCACGTGTCATTTACTGCGGCTTCCTGGGGTCTCTAAATGGCTTTAATTTAAAGCAGTAATGACAAAATTCTGAGTAGAGTGCTATGACACGCTGAGAAATATAACAGTGCTTGGAGTCGCTGAGTGCTGCCATGCGTCAACGTCGAATGTGTGCATACTTTTATTAAAAGAAGTGTGTAATAACACTTTGGCCACATAAGGGGTTAATACACATTTTTAATTGTTAATTGTTCCCTACTGCCTCTGTGGGGTTTGCAATGTTATGTTAGCATTAAACTAAACTGAGGTTTATATTCACTACTCACAGCAGCAGCACTAAATAAACAAGGACATTTAGTTTTTGTAGGACATATGTCTGACATTCTTTTCTTTGGTTTGCAGTTGCCTGGTAAATTCTATTATACATTAATTATAATTTAATAATTCTCAGTTTTATGGATGCTATGATGAGTTTCATCATGATAAATGACAAAAAAGCATAAGTTATTTGTAGTAGATTAAAAGACAAGCTGCTGCTTTTTGCCTTGACATAAAATGATCGAAGATCATTCAGTGTTTTTAGAATATTAATAATTTTCATATGGTAACAGGGGTTTTTCTTGACCTCTAAACCTCTCGCCCACTCAGTGCTGGCCACTTTAAATGTGAGAGCATCTAGAAAGAGAAAAGTTTGTTTTAGGAGTATGAAAATTTCAGTGTATGAGTCAGTTCCCCTCTTTAAATGGATTATAAGTAATTGCCTTAAAATGCATTCCTTTAAGGTAGCGTGGTGGTCAGTGCACTGCCCGGAATACTCAGCGTGAGCCAGGAGGAGAATATTTCTCCTTTACTATTTAAGGTCACAGGTGATGCTGGGCTGGTGCTCCCGGGTTCAAATGAACGAGAAAGTCTTCGTGTTTCTCATGTCTCCCAACAGCTTTTCATTTCCCTTCTGGGGCACTTTCTCTCCTTTCAGCTGGCTGACATCAACCAGCCCGGTGATGATGCAGTGTGTGGCGTGGCTATAAATTCACCTGTCCCCAACTCAGCCAGCCCTGAGACACAATTACACCCCACATGTCCATCTTTCCCCCTCTCGCATTTCTTCTTTCTCTTCTCTTTCTTTGTAGCTGTCTCTTCTCTTTTTCCTTAGTTTAATAGTTTTCGAAATCTACTCTATAATTGTATTAAAATTATATATGAATTCATCTGTTTTTTTGTTTTGTTCAACACAATTTTACAACACAATATTAGAGTTTCTGAGTCCTGTCTGTAAACATCTCAACAAAACATTCTTCCTCCCTCTCTCTCTCTCTCTCTCTCTCTTTTTTTCTCAGTCCCGTGAGCCACTAAAGCTGTCTGAGCTGAAGGCTGAGATTTCGCCGCGTATCTCTGCTGAGGATCTGATTGACCTATGTGAGCTGACAGGCCCAGCTCATTTTAAGACTCCTGTAAAAAGGCCCAAGACGGTCAAAACCAAGATTGTGGCAGTGGACATCCGGAGCTCTGAGGAGTATCCTTTCGACGGTGCTATTCAAAATTCTAGACTTCCTTTGCCTTCAATGCATTGCTTACTTAAAGCTCTCTATAATGCTCACATGATACACCTTCATTCAGACAGATTGCAGTACACTACTACAAGCGTAGAGGCAATATAGCTTCTTTTGTTTCATTGCAGGTTGAAAGGAGAAGTAGCTTATCACACAGATGGAGCTTTGAATGATGCAGTGCTGTGATGGGACACAGTCACAGTAAACTGCAGAAGAAGTAATAGTCCGATTAGCTGATTAACTGAATAATAGTCAATAGATTAATTGATTGTGTGAACAATCAGTAGTTGTAACCCTAGTACACAGGCCCAAAGTTAAGGGAGGCATGGATGGACTGAGAAGTCGTCAAGCCTCCACACCCCCCCCCCACTCCCATCAGAGAGGTGTCTGAACAATAAATTGATTGAAATATACACAAACCTTGTTGGCAATTTCAATTAAAATATTGTAAAAGTTTATTTGTATTATGGTCAACCAAAAACATGACACTGTGTCATTTCAAAAAAAGGGCAAAGTAGTACAATCCTAGCACCGTTTTATTTTCTTAGTCCTCCTATCCTCCTGACCTCAATTTCAGTGGATAGTGTTGTGAAAAAATATTTGCCCCCACCCGATTTCTCCTATTTTTGCTAATTTGTCACATTTAAATCTTTCAAGTCATCAAACAAATTTTCATATACGATAAAGACAACACAAGTAAACACAAAATGCAGCTTTTAAATAATCATTCCATTTATTAAAGATAAAGATTTATTCAAAACCTAAATCACCCATGTGGAAAAAGAAATTGCCCCCCCTAAATGTAATAACTGGTTGCGCCACCCTTGGCAGTAAAAACTGCAATCAAGCTTATATTATATTGCTCTATCTTGCGATGAGTCTTTTACATCGCTGTGGAGGAATTTTGGCCCACTCTTCTTTACAAAATTGTTTTATTTCGGCTATATTGGAGGATTTTCGAGCATGAACTTGAGTGACTCGGCCACTCCAAAACCTTACTTTTGTTTTTTTTGAGCCATCCAGAGGTGGACTTGCTTGTGTGCTGCGGATCATTGTCCTGCTGCTTTTTTTTTTAGACCTTCTAACTTGCTTCATTTAAGTGATGTTTAGATTCAACAGGTCTGACAGTAATCATGCTTGTGACTAGTGACATTAAACCCAATAGTCAGTTGAATTTTGTTAACTGGCAGATTTAGTAGCAAAAGGGAGCAGTTAATCTTTTCACAGAGGGCCAAGAGGGGCTGAACAGCATTTTTCCTTTAATAAATGAAATTGTTTTCAAAAAAACAGCATTTTTGTGTTTACCTGGGTGATCTTCGTCTAATATCAAAAGTAGTTTGATGATCTGAAACATTCACGTAAAAAATATGCAAAAAAATACTTTTTCACAGCACTGTATATTTTGAATTATAGCTCCAAAAGATGTGCCTGGATATGTGCTTCTACCTATTTCCAAAGCCTAAATCAAAGGTAAATACTAAGCCTGTGTTTAAAATAGGCTATGTCAAAGTAAGTTTCTGCTTCCTTTTATCAAAAGTGAGACAGAAATGGCCCATAAACTGTTTTTTCATGGCCACTGTAACGGTCAAATTATGCTTCTATGCTTTAGCTTAGGGTACTTGACAGTTTAGGTTTTTAAGTGTGCTGGTGGTGTTTTCCATCGACTGTATAATTCACATCTCAGCTGTCTGATATTAACTGGTGTGCCTGTTAAAGCAGACACGTTTTATAGAGAAGAGTGTAGCAGTAGTAGTGTCTTGGTTGGGTTTAAGTGAAGCCTGTGTTGTCTTTGATGTGTACACAGTCTTGTTATTTCATTGTAGCTTTGGAATAAGTAGTGACTGCACTAATAAATAATGACTGCACTGCTGTCAGCAGTAGGCTATAGCCTGATGGTAAGACATTATGGGACATAGCATGTTTGGAAATGTATTCTTGCGTTTTGCGTGACGTCACACTGTATAGTTGCCGTGATGTTAAGAACTGAACCAGGGACTGCGAAAGCGTGATGCCTTTAATTTGCTGTGCTTTGTGAATGATTCACCTGCAAGACGCGACAGAAGCGGAGAATGACAAGACCTTTAATTCAGTGTTTTCTAGGCTTGGAGCCCTGCACTGTATAGTTTAGGGTTTTTCTCTGCTGTTCACACCTCGTTCAGCTCAAGAAGAGATTAATTAGCTAATAATGTCAGGTATTTTAACCAGGGAAACCACAGTTATGCAGTGCAGGGGTTGCAGGACTGAAGCTGGGAACTCTGCACTAATTGCACTAGCAAACTGAAAAAATCATGTCTGTCGAAACACTATGTAGTTTTCTGACCCACAACATTCAGTCTGATATTTAATGTTTATCTCCAGAAACAGAGATATAAAGTTATACCGGCTGTCTGCAGCTCTGTTAGGGGGACAGCTGTTTATCTCTCGGCTGTTAACATTAGCATAAGTTACCTAAAGGCTAGCATTGTTCACATCTGTGTTAATTAGCTGATGTGGCCTTACCCTCCTATGATGACAGAGAGGTTTTTCTCCTTTTTATGCAACACCATGGGATCCTTTACCCACCCTGATGTGAAGAGCTGGGGGGCTTCTGTGCTTTTAAATGCTTTAAGTGACTCTCCAGAATAGGGAGAGGGGTTTTGTATGATATAAATATACATATCAGGAAAACACAAATTTGGTAGCTTTCTGCCAGTTTAAGTGGGACCAGGAGTTCAGGGGGAAACTGTAATAAGAATTGCAGCCTATTTTAACGACTTTGTCGAGCAGCGAAGCCAGAAACTCAGTCCCAAATCACGTGACTGAAACCCTAGGATAAAATGTGTCCCGACCTCCCAGTTTCCCTTTTTGCCCGGCCGCGAACAACCAATAACCCGTCGTCTTTTGTTGTGGTGTCAGAGCTGCTAGTATAGTCTGAGATGTAAATCTGTACGTGAGATGTGTACTAACAGCATTGCACTGTCAACACACGACCCCATCCATAGTCATAACCACTGACCTCAAAGTTAGATGCTTTGTATTAAGTGTGAAGTTTGGCTAAGACGCGGCTCTTCTCTGGAGAGCCAACATGAACAGATCAGACAGAAACCGGTGGGCCGTGAGATGTGTGTTACTGCCGTCATGCACCACTAGCCCTCTCAGCTTCACCTTAAAGAGGTGTGAAAGACCTGGCCCTAACCAAAAAATACGTACACAGCAGCTCAGTACAGCAGTATTGGCATGCACCATACATCCATACAGGGTTACTTCAAACTATGATCATGTTGAGATTATCTCGTTTGACACTTCTGGGAAACGGGAGGCCTTGTGGCTTTATCTGCTGATATGTGGGAGTCAAATAAAGAAAAAAAGCAACTCAAGGCTCAGTGATTTTACCACAGGTTATGGGTGTTGTTAAGCACTATGTGAAACAGAACACAGTACATACAAAGGACAGTAATTTAGGGTAATTTAAAAAGGGGGTGGCCTGGGTTCGATTCCCAGCCAGATCACCAGGGTCCTTTCTGTGTGGAGTTTGCATATTCTCCCTGTGCCTACGTGGATTTCATCCGGGTGCTCTGGTTTCGTCCCACGGTCCAAAAACATGCAGTCAGGCCAATTGGACATGCTTAATTGCCCCTAGGTGTGAACGTGTGTGGATGTATATGTCTGTCTGTCTGCCCTGGTATGGACTGGTGATCTGTCCAGGGTGTGTCCTGCCTTCTGCCCAATAACCACTGGAATAGGCTCCAGCTCCCCCCCGCGACCCAGAAGGATAAGTGACTTAAAAATGTGTGTGTGTGTGTTCAGTAAATAGACTGATTTCATTTATTATTAATAACAACAGTATTCTGCAATGTAAGTCGTTAACAATAAGTTATGGTTGCCAAGCAACATAAAGGCCAAAGATTATTCCTTGAACAACACAAGGGTTTTTAATAACTTGCTTCAGTCGCACACATTGCTTCTCTGTGGAATAGCACTGACAGGAGAATGGGACGCTCGTCAGCTAGAGGAGTTGAAGAGGGGTGGGGCAGTCATTTAAAAAGTGAGGAGGAGACAGTTGTCAGCACGTTGCTATCCCTTCATTATTCACTATTCCTGTCAAAGCTCTGAGCAAGGCATAGTCATGTTATGCTTAATTAATGTTATGAATGGCTAATGCTGTTTGAAACCTAGAAACTAGTGAGTGGATAAAATCTGTGTGAATAAAATGGAAAGCGTAGCTGTTCCTGAATGAAAATCAAGGCCGGTGTAGTTGATGTTGGGGACCTTTGTCCTTCACTTTCTCATAGCTTGATTAAATGCTTTAACAGATGATGCTTGCTGAGTTTACAGCAGTTTACAAGTTTACAAAAGATTAGCACATGCTTGCTCTGTGCTAGTCATGTTCACAATTGAAGTCATGCAATCAGCTGACCCTGGTAGCACATGTGCACACAAATTATGTACAAGGACAGGCATATGTGTAGATCAGAGATGTGGAGATTTGTTTCAGGCTCAATTCAGGACATGTACAATGTGCAAAAACGGCAGGAATTAGACTCTGTAGTGATGGAGCACCATCCAACCTTTGGGATGAGTTTCAGTGGCATTTGTGGTTCAGAACTGATCATCCAACATCAGTACCTGACCTCACTAATGCTGTTAATGAGGTTAAATGCAACCCAATCCTCACTGCAATGTTTCAACATCTAGTGTAAACCCTTCCCGAAAAGAGTAGAGGCTGTTACTGCAGCAATGGTGAACAAACTCTCTATTATGACCCTTGATTTCAGAAGAAAGGCTGGATGAGCAGGTGTCTACAAGCTTTAGGACGTATAGTGTATGTGCGTCTTTAGTTTTGGCTCAGCTAAGCAAAACGATCTATTTTATAACATTCCAATTAATGACTCACCTAAGTGCACATCCTCTTAGTCTGGCAGTGCATAGGCTACTAGTAGACAGCATGTCAAACTATAATGCCCTGGGGAAATGAGACCTGTGAGATCCACAGTGACCTTCAGTGAGTTCTTCTCTCTGCTGCCTTTTTTTTGACAGCAGTGCAGAAAGCTGAAAGTGCGCTAAGCATCATTTTCCCCACTGTGAAAATATTCTTTCATTTTTTGTGTACGATTCCCAGCCTATAATCAAATATTATTTTACCATCTAAACGCCTGGCAGTGTTAGACAAAGCTCTGCTTTTGTGCGTTTGCATTATTAATGTAATTATTAGTTCATTGGGCTATTGAGTGAAATGACTGGGGGTGCTTGAGAAGTCACTCCATGACACTTTTATTAATGGATATTGTAGAAATTGCAGGTAATTTCAGCTCCTCAGACGGGACAGGGTAGTTAAAACTGAGGATTATTTAGTTATACCTGGTTCTCATTTACCCTGTCTCACTCTCTTTCGTTTTTGAGTGATTTGCTGCTCTGCTGCACCTCCTCTCCTCTCCTGTCTTTAGGACTGGTTCCCTTATTATGTCAAATTTTGCACAATCCCATCCAGGCTGTAGCTCCCTCGCCCCAAGAGGCCGTCTTATTGCTTTCATTTGTCTCCATCGTGGTTTCCTGCTGTCCTCCATGCATTCATTCTCATACCACTCTTACTTTACAGTGGAGCTGGAAACTTTCCGGAAGCTCTGTCAGTCTGTCAGTAGGCTGCCATTGCCTTTTGTCCTACAGACACAGTGAGAAAAATCTAAGGCATGTTTTCAGCATTAAACGTGCTCCGCATACTTCAACATGATCCATAAATAGACTAAATAGGTGCAAATTAGCTGAACTGCAGTCATCTATAATGCAACTCTGTAATAAACTTATCGCTGCTGTTGGAAGAAAACCTCGTATCTCCATTTTTGTCGTTTTTCAGTTTTTGACATAATTTGAAAAAGCCGGTTGCTCCTTACATTGTGTGTAAATTTCATTAAGAATGGACCAAAAGAAAAGGCCCAAAATGACTTGGAAAAATTCTGGTTCCATTGACTTACATTCCTTGCGACATTGTGCCTTTAAACCTGCTTTGTTTTAACACACTAGGAAGGACTGAGTTGTTGAGTGTGTCAGTTTGACCCTTGACTGCCCTTGTGTAGCTTCAACCGTGGTCACATCCCGGGCAGCATTAATGTCCCGTACAGCTCAGTATTCGGGCCGGACGGAGAGGTGCTCCAGAGCCCCGGAACCAACGTGCTGACCAGCTACAAAGGCCGGGTCATCGTGGTGCTCAGCAACATCATGAAGAACGCAGCTACGGTTAATACACACTCTCTCTTTCGCTCTCTCAGTCTCTCTCTCACACAATCTCTCCATCTCTCTTCCTCACTCTTTCTCACTCTCATTCTCTCTCTCTTTATCTATTATCTCTTCCTCTTTCTCTTCTTCTCTCTAACCCACATCCTCTCATTTTCTCTTTCTCTCTTTCTCTCCCACCATCTCTCTTTCTTTCAGAGTCTCATTTTGCTCTGTTGCTCTCTCTCTTTGACATTTAGGGTGGTTGCCCTTGTACTGTAACAGCGGTCACTAATCATGATGTCTTGGCCCTGTCCAACCCCTTTAAAGAAATACACAGTCAGATAAACTGGCCTTTCTCCTCTGGTTGTGTCAGGAGTCAGATGATGTAATTTGTAACTGTATATAAATAGAGGAGTTATTATTTAGTTATCTTAATGCTTTTTGGCCACATATTAGTTTCATAGTAGTTATTGAGTAAAAAGCCTTAAGATGACTGAATAATAAACCTAGGGGGTAAATAGGTTTAACAGTGTGGCCCGTTAAAGGAGCTTAAAGGCCACCGCACATCAGCTGTGGTGCAATGCCATTGGTTTTAATGAAGGTGCACACACTGTTGCCAACATTTGCCATTGATGTGTTCCGGTGCACTAAATTAAACCCAGAACAAGACTTGACAATGTGGCTTGAAATTTAGACCAAGCAAGGCAGTCAATCTAAAGTCTTTAGGATAAATAAACAAATGTGAATGGTTTGTTACCTCAGTCAATGTTACAAGCCCAGACTGTTTTTTTACTTAGTATCTTTCAGCTGGTAAACAGTGCATTGTGAAGAGTTAGTTAACTGATACCAAATATGATGAATTCACTAAATGATGTTGAGAGTTTTTTTTCCCATTATATTTACATGAGTAGGATGAACTTGAGCTTGATGTTCATCGGTGCTCTTTCTGTGCTTCGCTTTGTACCGTCTGCTTCACAAGGTGCCTGGTGTGCGGTGGCCTCAAAGGTTAAGAAATATGGAAATGATTGTTGCATAACTACAACAACAGCATTATATCAAGGAAGCAGAACCTTTTTTGAACTTATGTTTTACATTTTAAACAAGGTTCAGTGTTTATTTGATTTTTTTAGCTTCTGTTTAATGTTAACAAATGAAAAATGAAGTTGAGAAATTGCAGAAACTTTCAGCAGGAATTGTGAACCAGCTGAACTTCAGATGTGTTAAAGCAGTTATGAATACATTAGCTTTGCACAAGTAGCATAAAAATGTAACTATGTGTGTATGTGTGTGTGTGTGTGTGTTTTCTGCAGTTTGCTGCCCACCTGGTGAAGGTGAATTACCCTCGCGTATGTGTCCTCGATGGCGGCATGAACAAAATGAAGCCCACTGGTCTCCTTACTGTCCCCTCACCACAGATATAAACTCTGCTAGAGCTCAATGTGTGTGTGTGTGTGTGTGTGTGTGTGTGTGTGTGTGTGTGTTAGTGGTCTGCTGCCTGACCCGAACCTAACAGGGCCCAATAAAACATCAGATTTTGGGGCGAGTTTGTTTCACATGCAACTCTGGACTGGGGTTTGTTTAATAATGAATTGTTTTTTAATGTAGTTTTTATGTTGTCTCTCCCTCTGTCTATCTCTATGTCTCTGTCTCTTTCTCTCTGTCTCTCTCTCTCTCTCTCTCTCTGTCGGTCTCTTTCTGTCTTTCTCTCACTCTCTCTCACTCTCCCCGTCTGTTTTTCTCTTTCTCACTCTGTCTCGCTCTCACTCTCCGTCTGTTTGTCTCTGTCTCTCTCCTTCTGTCTTTCTTCTGCTCTCACTCTCCCCCTCTGTCTGTCTGTCTCTCTCTTACTATCTCTTTGTCTGTCTGTCCCTCACTCTCTCTTCTCTCTCTGTCTCTCTCTCTCTCACTATTCCACTCTTTCTCTTACTCTCTCTCTCTCTCTCTTTCTTACTTGTTAAGCTCAAATAAGCTAAAGTGTGTTAAGCAGTAGCCAGAGGAACTTTAGTGTAGCGGTTCTAACATTAAGAGCTGATCAGAGGAGGGTGGATGGTGTTCTTTGCCAGGTATGATCAGCAGTTCCACAGAAATATACTGTTTAGTGTATTGAAGTAAAAGATCAGTTTGTCTCAACATTTTTTGTCCACTTAGTAACAAAGCAAAGCACTGCAAAACCATGTCTGTGATAATCCATCTCTGTTAGTGCATGCGAGCAGGTTCGGTTCAGGTTTGGGTTTTAAATTTAGCAGGACCACTCAGGCCTGGTTGAGTTGAGACTCAAAGTTATGGGTTCGTGTCAGATTCAGGCTTCAGTTTTAGGCCTTTCAGACCTCCAGTGTGTATGTATCTGTGTGTGTATGTACTGTATGTTGGGGAAAAGTCAGTGAAAGGCTCCATCTTTTCCTGTCTTTTTTATAAACAATGTGATGGATGTTGCATTTGAGAAAAAGTTTGAGTGAATGCTTAAATTCTTTATTGCAGTCTGAAATTTATTTTATTGTTTGAAAAAAAATGATGGGCATTCCATATCTTAACGTTTCTGTTCTTGTCTTGAAGGAAAATGTGAATTTTTTTGTAGTTTACTTTTTGTGCCAAATGTGTGTGTTTGCAGGTGTGAGAATGACATAAAAGACTCAGAGTATGATATTGATTCATGCTGCATCCTCTAAAGTACTGCACACTGTAATTCTCTTAATGATCAACTCTGTCCTAGGAGAATTCAGTTACTTTGCCACATCCTGCTTTGATGACTAAATATGAAAAGAGGTTTAAATCTGTGAACTTGGCACCTTCATCTGAGGTATGTTTTTTGCTACAGCTCGTGGAGTTGCACTGTATTTTGTGTGCATGGATGGTGGCAATCGTTCATTCTTAGACATCTCGTCCCTGTAGAACAAGCTACTCCCTTTATAAGTGGGAGAGAGCTTTCACTTCTCTTATGGACCAACTTGTTTAACATTATTAAAAGGACACTTTAAATGAACAGTGGGCCAGAATCTTTGTGAGAACTGCATAAGTGGGTTTTAAATTTTGGTCCCACTTTATATTAAGTGTCTCTAATAACTGTGTAGTTACATATGAATAACATGTAACAACACTGTAACTACTGATAATTTAGCCAATGTTACAGAGGGATTACGGAAGTACAGCCTATGTAATTACACATGTGTATCAACATCAGTTTTGATACACTACAGATCAGAAGTCTTTTCCAGCAGTTAAAGGAAGTATGTTTTGCATAACATTACATTTGTTTTACATAATTACTGTAGAAGAACTACGGAAGAACTAAGAAGGTACTGTGTAATAATGGAGTGGTAATATAGACATTGCTTTGGGGGTAATGCAACACATTTAATTAAGGTCATAAAAGTTACGTTTTAACATAAGGGGCCATCTGCTGTACTGTCACATTACAGAACTGTTTACAGTTGAAACTGGTTACAGTGTCACAGCACTAGCAATGTAAATGCTAGCCAAATGTTATGAAAGCTGGCAGATACAGTGTAAGTAATATCTTAATTTAAGTTATTATATACTTCCTTTTCTGCCAGGAAAAAAAAAACTTTTGGAAAAAAATGCCTTTTTTCTGATTTCAAATGTAATTACATTTATATTATTACCCTTGTGTAATTACATGAGATAATATGCTGTTACAACTATTAAGATACACTTGTGTAATTAAATGAGGCAAAGCTGAAGTTGAGACACATGTACTTACATAGGGGGTACTTCTGTAATCCATCTGTAACAGTGACTAAGTCATTAGTACTTACCTAGTTGTTGCATATGTTGTTCACATGTAACTACACAGTTATTAGAGATACTTAATATAAAGTGGGACTGAAATTTCTTCTTAAGAATGGTTAGTAAATGAAGCCTAATGTTAACATGACTAATGTGGCTAACTTTCTCACACTGTTAACCACAGTAGCTTTGCTTGGTTAAGCTTCCCTGTTTATATGCAGCACTAACTGACATGTCATTTTTAATAGAGCTCAGAGGTCTTTCTGGTTATAAAGCAAATAGAAAGAAAACACTGATGAATATTTTCATTTCAAGGCTTTTTTTTTTACTTGCAAAGGAAGGCCTTGCTTTCTAGAGAGGCATCACTGTGTCCGGATCATTTTCACTATTAGAGATGCTTACTTAAGATTTTTGTGCTGATGGTTTGGTAAGCCAGGCCAAGGTCATTTGGCTTGAAACACATTCTTGAACAGCAAGTGCATCTAAATTTGTCAACTTTTAAACCTTACCTGAATAGTTTCAGTGAGACATTTAACTGCAACCTTCTGTTCTGTCTAACTGTAATCTTACTCAACAATGTCAAAACAACTTACTGAAAATTAAAGAAGCTTATAACTGGAAGTCCAATCTTTTTATTTATAACATGCATGCAGGAAACAAAAAAACTGCCACTGATGTGGGTTTCCTCTCTTTCAATGATGCACTAAATTGCTAGTAGAGGGCTAATATCACCCCCTTGTGCAGAATCTGAATTATTGTGGAGAAAATACAGAAAGCAAATAAAATCTGAATAAAATTCAAGAGGATGTGAACATGTTTAAACATAATAGGCAAGTCAAAATCATCACTCTCACCAGGTCTCACCGTCTGGACCGAGCTCATCACATTGATTTATCAGTCTACTCAGGCTTTAGCAGAGCTCAGTAACACAAATTAATAACTGATCATCACGTTGATTTATCAGTCTACTCAGGTTTTAGCAGTCTGTAAAGAAGCTGCTTTTACATGCAGTGATATTAGAATATACAAAACATCGATAAAACATTGAAGATGTTTCTTTTAAAGATTGTATGTTTTATTTAGTAGGTAAGTGTTCCAAATGTATTCTGGAAAAAAAGTAAGGTAACTGTATTTTAAATACAAGCTTTACAACATAAACTGCATTCTGAATATGTATTCTGAGTACTTGTACTCCGTTACATCCCAATCCAGCATATGATATTACAAACTTAACAACTTTTGTGCATTTTGTACTTCTGAACTACCATAAGCACCTGATCTTAACCTGCACCTCAGTTCACATGATTGCACCTGAGGAGGCAGCTTGGGCAGTGGGGGAAATAATGTTTGATATTGCACACCAGTGCTGGATGTTGCACCATCATGTGTGACTGTGATTGTTTTTGTATTCCCACAGAATTCATTTCTCATTGTAGTCACACTATACAGCCCTGCTCTGAATCAGTGAAACGCTCATACCTGTCAGTATGGCTAGGGACATCCACATGACCATCAGTATTATGTCAATATATTAGGACAGAATAGAGCCATTCCATAATTATGCATTTTTTGTGATACTGAGTTTGGTTTATATGTTAGTTTCTAGTAGATGTCTCTGTATTTTAGGCAGCCTGACAGCAAATCACTGAGGTGATCAACATGTACTCAAAAAACTGTCCTGCAAGAACTGTGTTTAAAGATACCGAAATTTCAGGTTGCAGAAAATAAAAACCCAAGAGACTTGTTTCTTACAATGTGTGTGTGTGTGTGTGTGTGTGTGTGTGTGTGTGTGTGTGTGTGTGTGTGTTAGGTAGTAAATGATGGAGTGAGTGGTGGCACTGATTGTCATCTGGTGGTCATTAGAGCAGGACGTGTCTGCAGGATAAAGCTTGTGTTTCTCTCACACACTATTAGTCATCTGAACCAGTGCCGGCAGCAGAAACTCCCACACTGCACTCAGACAGGACAGGTGGATGAGAGGAGGAGTAAAAAACATAGATGGAGAAATAGAGTGAAGGCAGGAAGATGGATACTGTTCACCTCTGACATATTGTGTCCAGTGTGTTAGCATTAGACTAAAGTAGGTTAATGCAAACTCAATGAAATGTATGTATGTTTTACTAGTGTTTCTGAAACAGACTTTAAGCCAAGCCAAGATTTTTCCTGAGTGTTGTTGTTATTTTAGTTGCTGTTGTTTTTGTTGATTTTCTTTTTCTTCTTCTTCTCTTTCCTCTTTTTCTTCTTCTTTTTGCTCTTTCTTCTTCTTCTCTTTCCTCTTTTTCTTCTTCTTCTAGAAGAAGAAAGAAAAAGAAGAAAAAAGAAAAAGAGGAAAGAGAAAAGGAAGAAGAAAAAGTTCTTCCTTTTCTCTTTCCTCTTTTTCTTTTTTCTTCTTTTTCTTTCTTTCCTCTTCCTTTTTCTTTTTTCTTCTTCTTTTTCTTCTTCTTCTACTTCTTTCTCTTGTTCTTTTTCTTTTCTTCTTCTATTTCTTTCTCTTGTTCTTTTTCTTCTTCTACTTCTTCTTCTTCTTTATTTCTTATTTTTCCTCTTCTTCATCTCTTTCCTCTTCTTTTTCTTCTTCTACTTCTTTTTCTTCTTCCTTTTCTTTCCTCTTTTTTTCTTCTTTTTCTTTCTTCTTCTTTTTCTTTCTTTCCTTTTTATTTTTTCTTCTTCTTTTTCTTCTTCTTCTTCTACTTCCTTCTCTTGTTCTTTTTCTTCTTCTTTTCTTCTTCTTTATTTATTATTTTTCCTCTTCTTCTTTATCTCTTTCCTCTTCTTTTTCTCTTTCCTTTTCTTTTTCTTTTTTGTTCTTCTTTTTCTTTCTTCTTTTTTCTTCTTATTCTACTTCTTGTTTCTTGTTTTTCTTCTTCTACTTCTTTCTCTTGTTCTTTTTCTTCTTCTTCTACTATTTCA